GCTGTCCTCCTAGAGGTCACAGCTCATAAAAGAAGGGTTTCCACCTTCAAGCTTGAATCCCTTCTATAAAAAGCAAGCGCCCCGCGCACACTCAGCAGCAACAGGTACAATTACTCCTGGAACGACACCTCCTGCACACACCTGCGTCACACTGATCCTCGGTTATAAATAGGCCGGTTGCTCAGCACACTGGTACCTGCTCGGAGGAGGCAGGTTGCAGCTGGCAGCTCAAAATGCAGCGAGAGCATCCTCTGTGGCTCGATAAGGAGCCTGAGCCACCCCGATTGGTGCTAGAGACCAGGAGCAATATGTGAAGGGGGTTTCAAGGTTTGTTCTTAGCTGGGCGCCTTTGCCTACAATGAGGCGAACGCTTTCAGAACTGCCGGGCGCTCCGTTTGCACAGACAACGGAGTCAGTCGACGCTTGGTGCTCTCGAAAAGTGCTGCACCGAGCGCTACGGGAAATCTGGAGGTGCCGGGTCGAAAGACCGAACTCAGCATCCCTACAATGGAAGTGGTGCGACACGAATCCCGTGGTGCCCGGCTGGAAGCACCACATGAACAAGGGCAGGCGCAAAGCCCGTGGTTAGAGGATCTCACTGTGACGGAGGACTTTACCACTCGCTCACAAGCAACTTTCTCCTGCTGTAGGGCAGGGGCATTACCTCCCCACTTCACATCCCACCTGCTGGAGGATGGGGAGCAATATAGGAAGACTTGCTTTAACCAGGGCAGGTATTAAATATATCCCCCACCTTCTCCCTGCATCACCAGACGGTGCACGTACATGAAGGGAACCTGCCTCGGGGTTTCCAGCGACTCATGGTGACGAGTGGAGATACAGGCTCCCAGCACTGTTGAAGTCAATGGGAGCTTTGCTACTGATTGCAATGGGAGGTGGACACACGCTGCTCCCTCCTTTAGGGCATACTGTTTAGGGAAACGGGTTTGATATTCAGCCCCATCTCTCTGGAGTGCAGGCACCTCCCTGTAACCGTGGTTGAGCTCAGGAAGAGGATGTGGCTAGACTTCGATAGCTACATGGGAACAGGGACTGAAGATGCACGTTCCCCATGGCCAGGCACTGAATAACCATCTTGGGGTGACCGAGAGAGGACGACCCCCTTTCCCTGCCAGACAAGCCCAGGAAAAAAAAAAAAAACAACCCCCTTGCTGTGCACAGCCCAGAGCTTCCAGATTACAAAGTGAGATGGACAAGGCTGAAACTCTGCCACTGCAAGGAGCAGCCTGGAGGACTCTGCTAGTATCTGACTTCTGGCAGGAGGCAAGCATCTGGGAGCATTTGCTTGAGAAAAGCTGCCGTGCTTTGCCGACTTCCTGCCGTATTGGCTCCAAAGCCAAAGACTGGGCCAGCAAAAAGACTGCGCTGATTAACAAACATAAGAATACCATCCCTCCCCAAGGTCTGGCCTACAGCTGGGAGAAATTACACAGAGGCATTTCCTGATTACCGAGGGAAGCAATGGATAATAAGCCTAGGCTGGAGATACAGCAACAGGACCTGACTGACATCTGTGGATGAAGCCAGCAGATAAACATGCAATTACCATTACAGATGCAAAGTGGGAAAATACCTGGTTGCTGCCGATGCAGCATCTCACACAGATCTGAGTCAGCGACGGGCCGGCGGAAGAGCGGGCGCCTGCTTTCCCTGTGTCCTGCCGAGGTGACGATGTTTTCCGGAGAGAAAACCCCGAGAGATGAAGGGCTACAAAGGGGGACACTTGGGTAGCAGCCAGCTACCCACCTGTCCTGGGAAGAGCTGCTCTACCAGGCGAGACGTCCTGGCAGGAGGCAGGTAGACTCAAAATACCTGCGTCCATGCAAGAGGCCTGAGCCAAAGGCTAAACCAGGAGAGGTTTAGGGATATAAAACCGACCCTCTGCCCAGAGCAGACCACCTGCAAGAGCAAACAGACAGAGGCTGCTTTGCTCAAACTCATCTCTTAGAAAGGGAAGTCTGAGCTGCAAACCTGGACCCAAACCTGGGTTTCAGCTGCGACTCAAGTCCAAGAGACCTTACAAGGCCCTATTAGCCAGCCCGGACCAAGGAGACCGCTCAGGCGATACAGGGTTTTTGTCCAGATCTGAAATGTTCCTGCCACTATTGGCTGTTTCAACACCGAGCCTTTCCCAGAGAGGCACCCGGGGCTATTTATTTCCCTATAATCTGATGAGCCGTTTTTGGACTATCAATTTTGGAAGGGAAAAGCCAACCGGTTCCCCCCTTCCCCAATGCAGGATCATTTCAGCACTTGATCTCGTCCAGCTTTAAGCATCTCAAATGTCCCTAAAAGATTCTGACGTTGCAACGCTCAAGCTTACCGCCATCAGGACCCATTTAAAGACTCAAAACAGATGGCTTCTCACCTATAGCTGGAGAAAAGTGGTAAAAGCAACACCATTCATGTTGGCAGGATTGGGCCCAACGGGTGATTTCTCCCCATGCTCATTGACCTCCCCGTTGCACCTTAATGTCACCTTTGCAACGCATCTCCCATCTCCCTGCTAGCAATCTGCACCTTCCAGATCTCCAGGGACATTTATGTTAACTTGCCCCACAGCCCTTGTTTAAATAGCCCAGCTCTATATACAGAATGTGTTTGCTTCCCCCCCCCACCTCAATTTTCTTCTCTTTCCCCAGGAATTTGCTTTTCTTTAAAACTCCCTCCATTTCATCAACATTAAGGTTCCCAGAAACAGGCAGAAAATAAACTTCATTTTTGCACAGAGCAAGCTGAAGGTGGAAGTCTGTTCCTCTTAGTCTCTGTGCAAAAATGAAGTTTATTTTCTGCCTAGGGGGACTTTTTCCCACTCCTGTCTGTAATTTTCCCTGAGCCTGCGGAAGGGCATGTGTACCTAAAAGCTTGCAGAAAACATAACTTTTTTTTTTTTTTAAATGTCTTAGTTGGTCCAATGAAAGGTATCCTCTCTGGACAAGACTTCTAGAGTTTTGCATTTCTTTCCATCTCAGACCAACACGGCTACCAAATACACCCCTGAACCAGACCCTAGATCATGTTCTCACCTGCCCCAATAGCCCTGCGCACTACTGGGGCAGAAAGTGGGCATCAGTTAGCAGCATAAATGGGTCTTGGGATCAGTAAGAATTGTACCCCCGGTCTCAAGTGTTTGAGCAGACCGTGACCCGCCAGGACGTCTCTGTACATACAACCCAACCCCTTGCTGGTCTCTATGGCAGGCAATGCACATTGCAAGTTCTCCCTTGACTGGTTTTCTACTCCTGCTCCTTGCCGTTTTCCAAAGCTCACTTCCACTTCCACAGCGTGTGCTTCTTTTCCCCAGAAAGACAAGCATGCAGTTAGTTTTCCAGGCTGACTCACCACGCTATTCCCGGACTGTATTTTCAAACCTCGGAAGCTAGCAAACGCAGCATGGCTAAGAGAAATGATGAACGCGCATGGCATCCCAGTGCTAATTAGTTATACTGCACCACCCATGTCAACTATCCCAGTAATGACTAAATATTTATAGCAGGCAACAAGGAGACAGGTTTGGCTTGATTGCACGGCTATTAATATCTGACACTCCCCGAATCACACTCCAGTAGAGATAAGAAAAACAACGCGTTTCAGCCAGAACTGGGATTTTACGCAGCATTTGAGAAAGCCAGCATCTTGTGACATTATGAAGCAATAACAAGGATTTCGTAGGGTGGAGAAATCTCTTTCATTGGACCAACTATGTGGTTGGGATAGTTAGACAAGGTTTTGAAAGCAAGACATCCTTTGGTGGATCTCACTCAGTTACCCAAGGTTAACTGGGAAACTTCTTAAATCAAGGCACTGAGATGTCACATAATGACGTACTTTAACTTACCACCCTGCTCCAAAGCACTTAAGCATGCAACTAATCCCATCTTATGGACGTCAAGTGCCCAAATGTATGTGCTTAAAGGGCAGCCTTAAATCTTGTGCTGGGCTGGGACCTGGCTGCATTACTGATCAGGTCTGGGATGTCTGGCTAATTTGTGCCCCGATAGCTAAATGCCCAGCGTCCTATTTCAGCATGCAAAACCTGGAACGGTCTGCTGCCCTGCCTGCCTGTATCCACATGATACCATTGTCCTCATTAAACTATCCGTGCTAGGGAGCCGATGCTTTCGCTTGGATTTGTACAGCTCCTAACGCAGTGGGAGCCTTGGTTCCTGTCTGGAGCTCCCAGGCGACACCGCAGAACAAGCAGCAGCAACAAAGGTTCACCCACCAAATTTCTCTCTCCCACCAAAGTTCACATCAGCAAACCCAAGCCCAGAAGGTTACAACTGAAGCTGGGGGGAAAAAAAATCATTCCCCCTCTCCAAAAATGCACAGATTCAGAAATATTAAAATGTTTTGGCAAATGTGCATCCAGGTTCATTTATTTTGCAAAAACCTAAAAATCCGGGGGGGGGGACGGACGGAACAGACAACTTCAAAGTGCTTCAATGTCTTCTACCAAAATATTTCACTTTCTCCATTTGAAAGGGCTCCAGTGTTTGCATTTCTGTTATTTAAATTCAGTTGGCTCAAAAAAAAAACTAAATTAAATAAATGAAACATTCTGGGCCAAAACTAAAAGGACTTTTTTTTGTGTGCGCGCAGTTTGGCCTCGTCAGCAAAACTGAAAAGGTCATGATTTGCCCTGTTCCTGCGACATTAAGTATAGCTAAAACGCCAGTTCTCTCCACCAATTAAGAAATCTGTTCACCTTTTATTGGAAAGTCCTATCGATCCCTAGCTTTAAGATCCAAAGATGTGGAGGTAAGTTACACACACTCACTTTTCACATGCATCTGCATTTCTCATGTCAAACAGCCCTAAAAACCCAGAGGCTGCAAAACACCCCATGAAAAAGAAAATCTCCCTCAGGAATGCAAGCTTGATCTGTACCAAGAAGGATCACAAATCTTACAGGAAAAGCCCAATAACATTTTCAGCCTGGTTTGGGGAACAGGGCAGAAGCCCAGTCTGAATCTCACCATTTAGGTCTAGGACTTGTGCCACCTACTAGATGCCCAAGTGCAAGCTTCTTCTGCCCTGGTCAAGGCCCCGGGATGACAGAAAGATGCCTGCTTTTGTAATAACATGCCGTCATCTGAGCCGTCAGACGAAGCCACGGAAGGCAGATAGGTAGCAGAATCCAGCCCACCGGAGTTTATATGCAGAGCCAGGCAATGCTCAGCAGACCCCAGGGTGGCAGAAAAGGACTGGAGATGAACCACGATGGCATCTTGAAACTCAGCCTCTCCCCCTGAATTAGGACTGCTAGAAAGTCCCCGAAGCATCCCTCAGTTCCTGCTGCGGTCCACGCTCCAGCCCCATGGCTACCCTGCCAGTTGGAGCACCTCCTGCTGACCCAGGACAGGATTCAAGGGAAGAAAGATAGGATCCGTACCAAAAGGAGGAGAGATCTCATCCCGAACACAGCATGAAGTCAGTTTGCTTTATAAGGGCTTCTCCAGAAGCCAGAGCGTTCATATCCCTCCCCCCTGCCTTGTTTTTCCGGCATCCATTAGTCATGTTGAAACTGCACAGCCGCTGGAGCCTGGAAAATAGCCGCAACGCGAAGAGGAAGCCGGACGGGCTGCTGGACGGCCCAGCCAAATCCAAGCATTGCCACACATTCCTAGCACGGCCCCTCGCAACCACGCTGAAAACAAAGGGACAGAGGACACCAAAAAGCCTTGGGTTTCAGTTGCCTTCCCAGGTCAAAAATCCCTTTCCTTTCTGCTTTCTTATGTGGATCTGGGGGCACCCCAGCTTTGCACCCAGGCCTTTAAGCGCAGCACTCTGATGCCAACACAAACAAATGCCACATTGGCCAAAGCAGCTGCAAACAGCCATCTGAACATTATGAGCGGATAAAGCACCTGCTGTCTGACCCGGTCTCAGATCACATTCAAAGCAAAGAGGCTTGGAGCGATCGGAGGCCCTTCTCCATTCTGCCACCAGCGGGTTTGCAATGCGTCCTTCTCTCAGGTGCCCAAGCTCAAGCAGAAAGCAGGGCAGAGTGGCACCTTGGAGACTAACTGTTTTGAAGAGGCATCAGATCAGAGATAAGGCTCCTATGGTATACTCAGGGTCCTCGCAGTATGCACGGATGTCCTGGAAACAGCAAGGCAAAGATATTCCAGACTCTTTTAAGCCACAGGTCTCCTTCCACCCTGGAGAGGGGAGAGAACAGTTAAACCCCCAGTCACTTGCAGAAAGACAGAGTGAAGACTCCTGATCACTTAGGAAAGGCTCTAAACAGGAGCACAGAAGATATGCAGACAGCTCCCGCCACACCTGACACATGTACACAACACGGGTGGGTTGGGACTCTCAAGAAAGCACGGTGCGAGTCTAACCCTGTGTCCAGCAAAAAGGCAACTACTGATTCCCATAGGAACAGAATCAGGCCAGTGCTGAAAACTGTCAAAAGTCCCGCCTGAAAACATAGGGATTTAACAAAAGGAAGCATCCAACATGAGTGAATTTTGCTCTTATCACAAGGTAAGGTAATAACGGCACTGATCAGAGCCAGACAGGGTATGGCACAGGTCAGCAAAAGTCTGCCAATGCCAGCCCAGTCCTGGGTTTCCCCTGTGCTGTGCCAAACTATAAAGGGGGTGGAGGGGAGGGATATCTGGAAACATACCCACCTCCTTTTTGCCATCCTATGTCTATTTACAGTGGAAGCTTATAAAGGCAGGGCCCGCCTTTCAATGTCCTAGATACCACACGTCGATAGTGGGACCCTGCTCTCAGCCACAGCTTCTGCATACTGCTGCGATGCTACTTATAATGAGACTTGCCCCCTTCACCTACTTTTAAGCACCAGGAGCTGAAGTCCTGCTCCAGAGGAATGTGCCTTGCTGCAGGAAAACCCACCAGAGCACCAATGCAGTCAGCGGGGCCTGACTCTTGCCAGTCTCGCATTAACGTGTGTGCAGCTAAGTGGCAGGCCCTACATTTGCAGAGTCAAATCGAAGAGGCAGGTATCTACCTTGGAGGCTGATGGCACAAGGGAGCAGGGCCATGTCATGGATGGAGTACTTAGAAGGGAGCTCTACAGCCCCTAGACCCTGCATCATCCTACCACAAAAAGCCCTTTGACTCAGCATCTCCCCAGAACCAGGATGGCACGTGCAGAGACAGCCTGTGCTAGCTGTGCATCTCCACGTCCCCCTAGGTACCCATACCATGATGGACCAGACCCAAATGGTGTGTCTACACATGCATTAGCACACTTTAGTTAATGCACATTAAGTCTAGTGCCTCCGTTATAAGGTACTAGGAAAATGTACATTAGCCCGCCTTCATGCACGTTAACGGGAGGGGGGGGGGGTTAGCAATGCTTTAATGCACATTAAAATAAGCTAATGCACATTAAAGCACATGTGTAGATGCACCCTTTGAGCCTGGAAACCAACAGAAAGACTCCCATAGACTGCAACGAGTTTCAGATCCCTGCCTAAGTCCTGCTGTCGCCTGACATGCCCAGGTCCCCAGAGGAATTCATGTAGCCAATGAGCTGAGCTCCGTTTCCCCGCCTGGCTGCTTGTGCATGATTGATTACCCTATTGTCAGGGGTTTCCCCAGCACAGATGGCTGCACGCAGGTGCCTCCCTCCTTCCCCTGGCTGTTCCTGTTGCACTCCAAGTGTAAAAGCAGCTCCTTTGCAGCAATGCCTCTTTGCAAGATATGCGGGTAAATATTAGTCTGCCTATCTCCCAGCTGCTACCTAGCAAGTGGACTGTTTACAAGACAGGATCCTCACCATGATGTAAGGGCTGGACTCCTTGTTCCTGGACTGCAGTCAGGCTCTCTCACATGAGCTGTGTTTTTTGTTTGTTCTTTTTTTTTTTTTTAAAGAGCACTGGAGGGATTTCTCCTCATTTTTAACTCTTGGACAGCCTGATATTCAAACACGCTTTGTCCTCTCCAAGCAGTTTTCCCTCCATCCCGCACATGCTGTGCTGGGCTGTCATTGTAGGGTTAGGGGCTTACTTGGACTCCACTATGGTGCCTTGTCACTCGTTCTGGAAGCCAAAGTACATCCATGTGAGATAAGCCTCTAGGTATTCCTCCAAAATCATTTCTCAGCCTTATAGCAACTTCCCAGCTACCTTCCCTTCCAGTACCAGGGAGAGAGGATTTGCTGTGTATTGCATGACAGCCACCAGATTTGAGGGCCCTTTGGACCAGTGTGCACTCATATGCACCCATGGGTGCATGGTTACTTACAAATGCAAGACAGACAATGAACTGAGCAAAAACAGGGCCCGAGCTCTGCACGGAGAATACGGACCCTGCTTCAAACCCACTGAAGTCTGCGAGATGGGGGTCTTTCCCACCAACTTCAAAAGGCTTTGGATTGAGCTCTGTAGGGTGACAAACCAACACCACATGCTGGGGCTCGGCATCAAGCCTATACATCGATTCCCACATAAGCCTTAAAACAGGACTGTGCGCGCATGCAGCCTATGCACTGGGATATTTCACCCTTGGGATATAGATGCCAGCGGCATTCATAGCAGAGAGCAGTCCAGAGCGGAGCAGATGAGCTTTGACACAGTCCCTTGAATGCCACGCACCCATTCAGTCTCTACTCCCTGCTCGCACACAACTGTCACGGGTGCTAATTTGCATAACGTTGCAAAATGCAAATGAGAAAGGTCAAACACAGAGGGAGATCTCAGGTGCGTTGCAATCACAAGCCACCAGTTTCTTAAACTGTGTTGGCAGCAGATTCTAGCAGCAGAGCTTAAAGTTTTTCAGCTCAGCTTCCTGCTTTAATTCAGGCCTATGCACCATATGCCAGGTGGGTGGTTATGGTGTGGCATATGCAGGTCTTGGGGCAGGATGTAATTAGCACTTAACAGGATACATCTTCTGTGCTGTTTCTGAGACATAGCTGCATATTGTGGGGTGTATGGCTGCAGCCATACCAACACCGAACCACAAACACCATTGGTGCAACAAGGCAACACCTGGTCTATGATCCAGGGTACAACAGTCACATAATTCAGTATGCATTCATCCGTCTGACACACAAATGCAGCCTTCTAGGATCAAGTGCACATCTTGGGTATAACAGAAGGCAAGAGCAGAGACGAAGGGCTGTTTAAGGGGCTTGTAAATCCTGGTTCACTTCCTCTCTCCGACACATACTACCCACGTGACCCTGGGCACATCCCTTTGCCTATACGGGCCTCAATTCCTGCTTTGTAATATGGGGGCAATAGCCCTGCCCAGCCTCATAGGGCTGTTGTGAGGGTAAATGCATCAAAAACTGAGACACCAATATCCTGCGGTACCATTTAAACACCTCGACAGAGATTCACCTCACATGCAGCAACCCCCATTCAATGGCTCACCTTGCACACTTCACTACCAGGGGAGCACAGCCTGATTTTAGCCCAGGATCTGGATACTGATTTCACTCCGACTGTTACCCCTGCGTAACAAAACCACATCCTAAGGCTTGTCTGCATGTGATGTTACTCCAGAAGAGCTGTGGGTATATGCACTCTGATTCAAGAGGAGCATCCACACGTGTTGTCTGGAACAGCTGTTCCACTTGCAATTCGCAGCCTGCCTTCTGCGCAGACAGGCCCTTGCAGCTGCTTTATCTACCGCCGACACGGCTTTCCCTTCTTTGCTATCCCTCAGTTCCTACAATGCACCTTTACCTTAAACCAGTATCCACGGGCATGGGGTGGCATCGGTGCACCTCGGTCCCAACCAGCCAGATAGCGACAAGGACCCTCACAGCCCCTGCCACATATCCCTGCTCTCCAGGCACCTTCCACAATAGGTGAACAATGGGGCGAGGCCTCCTGTTTCTGCTTGGGTCCCAAGCAAGGTCCGGATTTGAGTCTGCAGAGATTGAGCCCTGCATGTCTGGGAAAGCTCAAGGGTAGAAACCCACTGAGGTCCCAGCACCATCGAACATCCAAAAGCCAGTACCAGCCTGTAGCTATCCAACAACGCTTGCTGGACAAGTGGAAGGTTGTCCCACGTTGCACATCCCCAAAAACAATCACCACCCAGGGCTTGCCTGAACACAGCTGACATGTCACGAGAGCCATGCGACTTGAAACCAGCCGGGTGAAAGCAATGCAAACCCCCAGCGCGGAGGCCATGACTCAAGTTTAAAGGCACCTTTTGACCAATTTAGCCTTGCAAATAAAAGTCTACCTAGCAGAGCAGTGTCAGCAAAGGGGGTAGCAAGCTTTCACCCTGCCCAACAGCCGAGCCAGCAGAAGCCTCCAGTGCAGACACACTTCTACAGGCAAAACTGAGAATTTATTTACCTCCATAGTTTGTTCTGCTTGGGATAAAGCTATC